GGTAGCACAGGGACCCGGACGTCTCGTTTTGCGGTCGTCAAAAAGGTGCGTGGAAAAAAAAAAAAGGTGAGCCGTGGGATGTGCAGGTTGCATGGCCCCTGCGCAAGAATGACACGCCACGGTATCGGTGGCTCAAGGTGTGAGAAAGATGACGGGGTTCGGTTTTGGGGCTTGTGACTTGATTGTCGGATGAGCCTGGGGGCCCCGGAATGGCGAGCGATTATGATCATCTAGATGATGTGCCCTTTCAAATCAGACGGGGTCTCACAAGCCCTGTCCCTTCGCACTTTAGTATCGTTACCGCTACGCCATCACCGACTTTGGTTCGTAACCAAGAGGTTATGAGCCCAAGGGCTCCCCTTGGGCAAACCTCCGCAAACATGCAGCAGCAAGAACAGCATGCGGCAGCTTCAGCATCTACAGCAAACATGGCGGACGGATCGTTTATCTTCAGGAGCTTGTCACACGTGGTGCTCCCGGCAGATATGGTGTCGCGACTGCAAGCATTGCATAATCTGGAGCTGGGCCAGCTGGCGGATCTTGATCACATCCGTCAGGGTATGCAGTCACTAGCCGATGAGCTGGTGAGACGTTCCGAGCTGCTTGGACAATGTGTCCAAAGAGCCGCGAGTGGCACATTAGAAGACCGAGAAAAATTCAGAGTCTGCATCACGCGTTGCAGGCCCTTCGAAAGGACAATGCGCATCATCAAAGTAGACTTGCCTCTTTATCCTCGGAGCATGAGCGGACGATGACCCTCCTTGCAGAGTTTGAGGTAGGCATGAAAGGTAAGTGGGCCGAGACCTGGCAGAAGACGATTTCCTTAGAGGAGAGACTGGAGAGCTGTCTGGCTGGACAAGCTGGGTTGCGTGGTGACCTCGAGGGTCTGGCAGGTGAATCGGCTGGAGAGCAAAGGCAGCTCCTTGTTAGCATGCTAGAGAAGCAAGCAGCAGCATTGGAGCAAGCAACAACAAAGCAGTTGAGCAGCGACAAAAGGATTGAGCAGCTGAAGCGGAGTCTGGATATGGCCCATTCTGAAGCTGCTAGACTAAGGGCTACGTATGAGGATGACTTGAGGACCACTCGATGGGTGGTCGACCGGGTCACCAGGTTGGAATTGCTGGTAGACCAGCTAAGAAATAAAGATGCGGCGATCCGGCAAGAGTTGGGGATAGATCCGGAGCAGGGCATTCGGCGGGCTGCCGCAGGGAACGATGCTGATAGCGTTGCACCTCCTGTGGAGCACCATGTTCTTTCTCCTGAAAACCCGGGACGAGCTGATGAAGGGTATGACGATGAGTGGTGGGGTGAGCATCATGCCAATGAGTACGTGGGGCTAGGTGGCGCTGAGAAGGGATACTTCCAGTGGGATGCGCTGGGACATGGAGTGCCTCCGGGACTAGGACCTAGCGCTCAACATGAAGAAGGCTAGCCCGGGAGTTGAGGTGAAGATACCTCAGCCTGCGTTCAAGTTACTGAAGGATGCTCCTAAGCTGGACTTGTCTGCGGGGGGAGAGCCATGGGAGGTTGGAATGACAGTGCATCAGTGGCGAGTTGAGACTAGGACGGTCCTGACTGCCATTCATCCCTGTTTTGCAGAGTACTTCGATAAGATCTACGATCAGGGGCGAAAGCGATATGAGGCTAAGAGGCTGACCGGATTGGAGGAGCCAGTGCCAGAAGTTTTGGCGCCAGAGGCCGAGATGGAAACGAGATTGTCGCTGGCTCTCTTGAAGAATCTTCCTTTGGCGGTTCGCCAGCCGATCGATGTCGAAGAACGTTCGATGCCTCTTGATGCTTGAGAGCTTGCACGAAAGGTATGCCCCTGGGGGGCGAGAGGAGCTGGAGTCCATTCAGAGGTACATGCGGCAGCTCCCTGCCGCTCAAGACGTGGAAGCTTGCGAAACAGAGAGCCCAGAGCCTGGGGCTTCCGGAGCAGGCCCC